GCCCGATGCGGGACTCGATCCAGGGACTCCAGGATCATGACCTGAGCCGAAGGCAGTCGCTTAACCAACTGAGCCACCCAGGCGCCCTCTGTTTTGTCTTTTCAAGCCTTTAATATACATCTAACCAGTTCACTTCATTAAATTATCCTTGTTGAAATGCCTGTGATTTCTGCCTTCCTGATTGCATTCTACCATTAAAGCTGTACATGTGAGCTTCTGGAAACTAACTGCAGGGGAGAATCATCTTAGAATTAGAGCTGTCAGAAGTGTATAATTTGAATATTGTCAGGCTCTTCATTGTATTAAGTAAGAACAATCGGTAAGTAAGAGCAATTGATAAGCTTCTAGGTTTGAAAACCTTTAGAGAGGACTAAATGATTTGTGTCCTTTCGATGTCATATCTAAACCTTTCTTCCCTTCCTAAGTCCATTTTAAGTGTCAAGGTTCTCTAACTTGTTGGGTATAGGAGTTTTTATGAGCTGTAGACTGAAGAAGGTAGGTTATTTAATAGTAATTTTCTTTTAGGTTTGTTATCTCTGTGGATTGTTTTTGAGATTTACTCTTTCCCTTTTGGCTTAAAACTGTAGTCATTCCTGTCCCCCCATCCCCCCCTCCCCCCACTGTGGGCATTTTCTGTCTTATTTAATACTGTGCATTTAATTTTAAGGTCATATTTTTATTTTTTAATTTTATTTTTTAATTTAAATTCAATTACTTAACATATAATGTATTATTGGTTTCAGAGGTGGAGTTCAGTGATTCATCAGTCTTACATAATACCCAGTGCTCATTACATCACATGCCCTCAATGCCCATCACCCACATACCCCATCCCCCCACCCTCCTCTCCTCCAGCTACCCTGTTTGTTTCTTATAATAAGAGTCTCTTATGGTTTGTCTCCTCTCTGATTTTGTCATGTTTTATTTTTTTCTTCTCTTCCCCTATGATCCTCTGTTTTGTTTCTTAAATTCCACGTATGAGTGATATCATATGATAATTGCCTTTCTCTGATTGACTTATTTCACTTAGCATAATACCCTCTGGTTCCATCCATGTGGTTGCAAATGGCAAAATTTCAATTTTTTTTTTTTTTAAGATTTTATTTATTTATTTGACAGAGAGATAGCACAAGTAGGCAGAGTGGCAGGGAGGGGGAAAGGGAGAAGCAGGCTCTCTGCTGAGCAGGGAGCTGGACGTGGGGCTCGATCCCAGGACCCCAGGATCATGACCTGAGCCGAAGGCAGCCGCTTAAACCGACTGAGCCACCCAGGCGCCCCCAAAATTTCAATTTTTTTGATGGCTGAATAGTATTCCATTAAGGTCATATTTTTAGTATATTGCAGGCTTTAACCTGAAAGCGTGCATTTAGATCCTTGTCATAGGGTAAATGAAGTGGTTCTAATTCTGAATATTCCTCTTGGTTTCTTCCTCAGGACACAGCCAGTGTGAAGTCCTCCAGTAGTTTGGAACCCAATCTTTTTTGTGACGAAGAAATTCCCATCAAGTCTGAAGAGGTGGTCACTCACATGTGGACAGCGCCTTCATTCTGTGCAGAACATGCTTATTCTTCTGCTTCTAAGAGTTGTACTCAAGGTATTACCCTTTAAAACAGTGTGAAGAAGATATACCTGAAACCAGTGATGAAAAACATTGTATTAATCAAGGCTATGAATCCTTCTTTTTAAAATTTATTATTATTATTATTAAAGATTATTTATTTTAGAGAGAGAGACCGGGAGGGGCCAGAGGGAGAGGGAGAGAGAATCTCAAGCAGACCTCATGCCAAGGGCAGAGCCTGACACGGGGCTCGATCTCACGACCCTGAAATCATGACCTGAGCCAAAACCAAGAGTCGGATGCTTAACCAGCTGTGCCACCCAGGCGCCCCAGACTGTGAATCCCTCTTTAAATGTACATCCTGGCCATGAAATAATAGTAAAACTTAAAAATGCAATTTTGATTAGGAAAAGCTAAGTCTCTATATGCATTTTATGTTACTAGGTGGTAACCTAAAAAAAACTTAAATGGAATTATTGAATCCTAATAAGAACTTTAGAGGCCCTCTAGTCCCATCTCTCTTTATATAAAATCTCTGATAAGCCTCTGTTTGTTCATTACCAGTTGTCGAGGAACTTGCTGCTTTTTGAGAATATTCATTCTTGTTTTAGAAAGTTTTAAGTGTTAGAAGTTCTTCCTTCCCTTGGTAGATAATTGCCCTCATACGTCTACTTTGCTTTTCCCCAGTGAAAATACATCACACTGCGGTAGGTCACACGTCTGGGAAGTAAGGCGTGTTTCTCTTTTCATAGTAAAATTCACAATCTTATGGACTAGCAAATTACTGTTGGTTTATTACGGGCAGCTCATGTGCTTAATCTTTTGGTCCCCTCTAAAATGGAGAGAGAATAGATTAAGAGATTCTTTCCCATTCTCCTTCCACTATTCAGTCACAGAATAAAGAATCAATAAGAAACCAGGTTTTTACTCTTAACCAATTTTTTAGAGTGGGCATTAGAATTCTAGATCTTTTTGTTTTGTATTTTTTGAAGATTTCCTTTTCACTTTCATATGGATATAGTGAATTCAGGTATCTAAAGTAGGTATTGGAGGAGGAGGGACCTTTCCCTTAAATATTTACTTTGGAAACATTATGTTTTTTCCATAGTTTTCATTTTTTTGTTTTTGTCTTATATTTTATTGGAAAGGTTCTAGCACCCCAAGGAAACAACCTCGGAAGAGTCCTTTGGTGCCCCGAAGTTTGGAACCTCCAGTGTTAGAGTTGTCACCTGGAGCTAAAGCCCAGCTGGAAGAACTTATGATGGTTGGAGATCTCCTAGAAGTATCTCTGGATGAGACTCAACACATATGGCGGATTTTGCAGGCCACACATCTACCCTCTGAAGACAGATTTCTGCATATCATGGAGGCAAGATATAAAGCTTACTTAAACAGTGGTTTTAACATTTTAGAATGCCTTGGTTCTTTGGAGGTGCCACAAATGCCAGGATGGGAATGGCTGAGTGGGTAGTACTGTGGCTGTCCTTCTTTTCCATTAAGCCAAATGTAGTTCTGCTTTATGGTCTTACTGCGATTTTTTTTTTTTTTAAAAGATTTTTTATTTACTTATTTATTTGAGAGAGAGAATGAGAGAGAGAGAGAATGCACATGAGAGGGGTTAGGGTCAGAAGGAGAAGCAGACTCCCTGCTGAGCAGGGAGCCCAACAGCCCGATGCGGGACTCAATCCCGGGCTCCAAGATCATGACCTGAGCCGAAGGCAGTTGCTTAACCAACTGAGCCACCTAGGCGCCCTGGTCTTACTGCGATTTTATGTAATATTTTGGGGAAAAAAAACCCAAACACCATTCCCACTAAAAAGAAAGGAGGGTACTGAAAACTCCCAGTTTTTCCCTTAAGGAAGGAACAGCTTCCTTAGCCCATATTCCCACTGTTGAAAGGCCCAAAAAAAGAAGGCACAAGAAAATACAGTGGTTAAAAAAAAAAAAAAAAAACTTAAAAAAAAAAAAAAAAAAAGCAGCAAGGGAAGGGTTAAGTAGGGGAGGAGGGGGGCAACAAGAGGGAAGCGTTAAATAGAAAGCAGATTGGGGTGGGAGAGTCTACTACGTTCATATATTAATACTTAAATAGCAGTTTGCAGTTTATACAGTGTTTTTATATCTGTGATCTCATTCAATGCTCAGCATAAATAATCCTGGATGGGAGAGAGGAAAGGATAGACCTGTTTCTACATATGAAAAAATTAAGGGTCAGAGAGGTGGAAACTTCCCTAGGTCAGACATTTGGTAAAAACAGAGACCTGGATTCCAACTCTGGCTTTTGACTCCTAGTATTCTTTACATTATTCTTTTGCATTACTTATTTTCATGCAGTGGAATGATACAGTGTCACTGACAGTTGATACAGATACACTGGGCAGATGATAGTTAGCTTTTGGTTTGGAATTCAGATCAAAGGTAGCCTGATTTAGATAGTGTTTTCCAAAATACAAAGGGTTTTCTTCACATCCATTATCTCATCTGATCCTCTTTATTTTACACATAAGCAAACACAAACTATTGAGAAGGTAGATATATAGTTCGAGATGTGATAGACTTAGGACATTTATAATGCAGTGTTCTGCTGCATTCTGCAGTTTCTTAGGTTCCTGTCAAAGATTTTTCAGTCTCAAATATGTCACAAAATGAATTCTCAGGTGGTATTTCTTAAGTAATTATCAAGCTTATGTTTTTCAGTATTTCTTTTTCTACCTCCTTGTTCTTCCTGTTGCTAGACATACTTTCACTATTAAAAATTTTTAATGCTGGGGCACCTGGGTGTCTCAGTAGGTTAAGCATCCTGACTCTTATTTTCAGCTCAGGTTGTGATCTCAGGGTTGTGGGATCCAGCACTGCACTGGGCTCCGTGCTCTGCAGGGAGTCTGCTTGGGATTCTGTCTCTCTACCCCTCCCCCATTCGTATGTGCTCCCTCTGTCTCTCTCTCCCTCTCCCTCTCAAATAAATAAATAAAATCTTTCAAAAAATTAAATTTTTTTAATGTTTATTACATTGGCATATAGTAGAAATTGGAACAATATTAGAAAATTGAAAAATAAGGGTTTTTTTTTGCTTTGTCACATCAGCTATTCTCTAGCCCTTGCCAAAGTCACTACATGTCTTTTGTAATGAGATCATGGATACAATTTTTTTGTTTTACCAACAATTTTAATCACTTCTTAGCCGTCGGGAATTTATTGTGAGTTAAGAAAGAACTGTAGTCGTGGTAAATGAAGACCAAGAAAGTTATTACATAATTCAGTGTACGTTTAGTACTTTAGCTTTATATGTATGTTTTATCTCAATTAGATGTGCTACAGCACTATACTAATACAGGCTGACAATGATCTTTTTTCCCCGGTAAGCTCAAGTCAGATGTTTTCTACAGGCTTGCCATTATTTTCTGTTTTCATTGAATATTATATTTGCTTTCTTAAAATGTCTTTAAAATATCTTTAGAACATTTATTGTGGTATAATGTACCCAACATAAAATTTACCATCTTAATCCATTTTAAGTATACAGTTCACTTGTATTAATGGCATTTACAGTGTTACACAAGTATTGCCACTGTCCATTTCCAGAACTTTTCAATCATCCCAAACAGAACCTCTGTACTCATTAAACAGTAAGTCCCATTTTCGCCTTCCCTCAGCCCCCAGTAACCACTATTCTGCTTTCTGTCTCTATGAAGTTGTCTATTCAAGGTACCTCCTGCAAGAGAATAAAACTTTTTTTAAATGTCTGGCTTTAAAATTCTTTCTACTTTTATATTGTTGAAGGATGACAGCATGGAAGAGAAACCATTAAAAATAAAAGGAAAAGACTCTTCAGAGAAGAAACGGAAACGGAAGCTAGAAAAAGTAGAACAGCTTTTTGGAGAAGGAAAACAGAAGTCCAAGGAGTTAAAGAAAATGGATAAACCTAAAAAGAAGAAATTAAAACTAAGTGCAGAAAAATCAAAGGAGCTGAATAAACTGGCTAAGAAACTGGCAAAAGAAGAAGAGAGAAAGAAAAAGAAGGAGAAGGCTGCTGCAGCCAAAGCTGACCTTGTGAAAGAGACTACTGAGAAGAAGAGAGAGAAAAAGGTGCTGGACATCCCCTCAAAGTACGACTGGTCCGGAGCAGAGGAGTCCGATGACGAAAATGCTGTGTGCGCCGCACAGAACTGCCAGCGGCCCTGCAAGGACAAGGTGAGCTCTAACCGTGTACACCCCCGGGAGAGCGGCCAAGCAGCGGCGGGCGCGAGACAGAGGCCTGATGTCATGAGAATCTGGTTTTGATTCCAGGATTTGGGCTTCCAGCAGAATATGTTTTCTACAGTTTCTATAAACTGTTTTGAATTATGAGGCTCTTAGGTCAGTGTGCTTAATGGAAGAAATGTTGTGCTTTCAAAATCATGGACTTGGTGAACGTAACGAGACCAGAGCAGAGAGAAGCTGTGTGATAACCCTGGGTAGCAGTGCATTTCGTGTGTGGTTGGCCTAGCCGGGTGCAGTGTAGTCCTTTAGTCCTTTTGCCTTCCCTGTACGGTGACTCAGAGAACTAAATACCTTGTCAGTTAGTTAGTCACAGTGGCCTCAAAATGTTCTGAGCCAGTATTTTAAGAGCTGTGGCAAATTGCATTACAATTTTTGTTCTAAAGACCTAAAAAATCTTCCCTTTTGGTCTGTGCTGTACCCACACTCAGGCCTATGTGCACTCTTCTAAATGGAGTAAGATTTTTTTCAAATACCTTGCAAAAAATAATTAGGACCTTTAAAGATATTATTTTAAAAGTTTCAGCCCTAAATTTTAAGTATAGTAATTATATAATGGCCATTCTTTAGGTAGTACTGACATTATGAACTTCTGAGAAAGATGGAAAGACTTTATGAAAAATCCCAGTTCATTCAGTGACTGGAGATGTCTGTTATGGTTCCCATCAAGATTATTAGTAAATTCATAGTTTTAATTTTATTATGCTCATTATACCACTTGATATTTAAAATTTTAATACCTCCTCAATTTGAATATATGAACAGAATAAATATACTGCATCATTATTCCCTTACTTCCTCCTCAGTCAGATACTTGTTAGAGCTTGAAGAGGTCACCTTGTCCAGGCTCTTCATTTTACAAATGATGAAACCAGGACTCAGTGAAGATAAATGATGTGACCAAAGTCACAGTGCTAAGTAGTGCAAAGCCAAAAGTAGAACCGTGGTTTCCTGGCTCCCGGACCAGGTTTTCACCACTAATATCCCCACCCCACCTATAATTAAGATGTAAGTACAAAAACACATTCCAAAACTAAATGACACTTATATTTAAATTATACTTATTGAATGTTTTCCACTCATTTTTGGAAAATGAATATATTTTGGTAAGACACATATCCCCATAGTCTAACCTTCCAAGGACAATACCTATACATATTTTAGTGTGTTTCCTTCTAGTCCTTTTTCCATATAATTTTATATCATGTCATACTATCTACTCACTTTTGTATCTTTACTGATTAAATATGTTTCTATTTTATAAACATTTTAAAATATTTTAGTAGCTACCTTATAAATATGTGTATGTATTTTTTCATTTTGAATTTATTCTCATCTGAATTTGTTCATTAAAGAGGTTGATGAAAGGTTAACTGTTTCTCTTTGGGTACTGAAGTATTGGCAGCTTGGTGTTGGCAGAACCTTCTCCCTTTGTTTCTCTTTTAACTGATTTTATGGTAATTTCAGACTGGCAGCAAGAAGTAGTGGTTCTTTTTCAAGCTTTCCTATCATCCTTCCTCTACAATGTTTATATCCATCATGAACCTTTTGCTTTCTCTTTTTTCACCTTTTCACTTAATAATCTTTCCCCTCTCCTCTGCTCAGCATTTTTAAATATTGCTCAGGTCATCTATTACCTTCCTGTAGCATATAAACACTATAGGCAGTTTTTTTTTTCCTCGTCTGCTGTAAAATTGTTAAATTAACACATAACCCTGCATACTCTCGGGGTTATGAGAATAAGAGGAGATAATCTATATGAAAGCACTTGCTAACAAAATGCAGTGTTAAAATGTGATGGTTATTTTTAAGTGAGCCCTAAGATTTGCTCCTAACATTAAAGGTATTTTTTTAAAACCTGCAAAGTTGTCTTAATAGAACAAAGGGAGACTTAGCTGAACATTCAGAGAAAATGTGTTTCAAACTGTTAAAACATATACAAAAGTGAGGAAGGTATGCCTTAACCTGTCATCATCCTACATAAAAGAAACTTAGTAAATGTATTTCTATAATGTGTTTAATTTTAAACAAATTATTTCAGATTGTAAACATTTTGCCCATCGTTGCTGTTTTGCAATATTTATGGTTCTCCAAGTTTGTTCTCAGCACTAGTTTTACTAAATAAAAGGTATATTTCTTTAACTGCTTTGTAAAAGAATTTTACAACTTTCTCAATTTGAAGTATAGTATTTCTCTAAGAAAACCAGTTGATGCATGACACACATCTTCAGAACAAAATAATGATAAGAAAAGCATGTTTTTAGAGAAGTCTATGTTCTTTAAATATCATGCAGCAAAAAATAACTTCTAGGGTTCATTCATATTTAGGTAAATGTACATTTACCATTTTTCTAACTTACTATTACTTTTCCCCCAAAACGTGCAGATTGAGAAAACTTTGAAGGGCTACCTAAACATACCTAGGCTCAATTTCAGGATGTTTTAGAAAGAGAAAAGAAAAATATTATCAGAATAATGTTGTAAGGGGCTTAAAAAAAAAAAACTGTCTCTTCCATCATTATCAAATTAACTTCAAGGTGAAATTAATTTAAAAAATAATGAAGAAAAGATAAAATATTAAGAACTGTTTTCAAAAAACTAGTTTTAAGGTTCAGAACCTTTTTCTCCCTGAGGTCTGTCCCTTTCATTCAATCATACTGTTACCAAGAGTAAAACAAGTTAACTTCATTGAAGGAGCAAATTCTTTCAAGTTAACATTTAAGTAACATTTTCTTTCCCCTGTATTAGAATACATAATCATCTTATTTAGGAAAATAGACTTTTTTTCCCCCTCTTCCTGTGGGCCTTTTCCTTACCCATTACTATTTCCATAAGAAGTTTGGGATGGTAGAGATTAAGTTTATAAACCTATGTCTCTCACATTTATTATTTGTTAGTTATTCTGATTTTAAAAGATTGTCATGGTGATGTCTCAGCCATGTGGAGATAGGTTAACCAACTCTTCCAATTTGCCTGGACTTTCCTAATTTTAGCACTGAAATTCCCGTGTCTTGGGAAATACCACTCTTGGGCTGGCTAGGAAGGTTGGTCACTTAATGTTGAGAGCACCAAAAAATACACACAAGGATTCTGAACATTGTTAAATTGTACTTCATTGAGTAGATTGTTTTAATTTTTTATATCTGGTTTTTGCAAGGAACCTTGGTGCAGTAGAGTTTGAATGCCAAAATAACAAAAGCTCCGTGGGGGAACTAAGCTAAGAATATCACTAAATCTCCAGGCCTTCTTTTTCCCCCATTGCAGTAATATGCTCTGTGAAGTGAACAAGATGAAATATGCCAAATATTTTTAAGTGTAAATATGAAACCATATAGCAAAACATGAAATACCAAATTAATATTGTATTTAACATATTTCTCTTAAAATTTCCCCAAATCCAACTGGTAACCTATTTGTACTATACTTCTGAATCTCTTATCCATTAATATTTGAACAGCTCATAGCTGTGAAGTTTTTTAATAATTATTTTTGTGATTTGGTAAGTAGATCTCTCGAAGATAATGAAAGGGGAAGTGACTATTAGAACTTAATATGCAGTTAACCACATTCTGTCTTCTTGAGTCTTCAGGCCACTACATAGTCTGTTGCCCTGTGTCAAAATCATCAGTGGATTGAGTTGACATTCCAAACGTTAGTTTGCTTTATGATCCGGTGGGCCTTTTCAAACAAAAGTAGCACTGGAGTTGGATTGTTAGTACGTGAATGTGATAAAAAGATACTAGTAAGGGAAGGACTGTTTTTTTCCCTGCTAGATGATTGGGGTGAATTTTTATATAATCTGTAGGCTGGGATAGAATCTGTGTACTGATGAATATCTCAAGAAAAGTTTATACTTTTTTGGAATGGTGGGAGAGCTAGGCTTAGGAATGGACCTGTAGCCAAAATCACAGAAGAGAACATTTCTTCCTTACTTGAGAGAGAGTGATAGATTTAATTTGAGGAAACCTGGAAGCCAGTGAGTATAGTGCAGAATTAGATTTTAAGAAACATGGAACCACTTTTCTTGGCAGCAAATACTGATAAATTAGGAACTTTTTATCCTGTGGATTAGCATGACTGAGGACTGGACTGGATTAAGAGGGTTGGAGGTAGGAGTAGAGTTGTCTCTTGGTTCAGGGTGGCATCATAAAGAGGGTAATATCTCAGATTTGGGCAGCTCAAAGAAACAGATCATCTTCCCAATTCTCTTAACGAGCTCCAGATAGCCAAAGCACTTACCATCAGATTGGCACTTCGTAAATCTTCATAGCTGCGGTACCTATATTTTTAGTTTGTTGCCCAGAAGTCATTTATCTGCCCCTTTCTTTCATGTACTAGTTTGCTGCAGTAGGAACATTTTGATCAATTTTCTTCACTACACAGACTTCAGAAGCTAAATATTACATAAACAATTACAGAACAAAAACAGAATTTGTTTTAGGAATGAATTGTAAAATGGCTCTGAATTTACTAGCAAGCAGTATCACAGAGTGCCAGGGATGATCAAATTTAGAATATATAAGAATTACCTAGACTCTGACTGAAAATACAGGCTTCTGGTTTGTATCCCCAAGATATTCTGAGGCTGTAGGTTTGGGATGGGTCTCAGCTACATTTTTAACAAACACAATAGGTAATTCTGTGTAAGTGGTCTACACATTTTGAGAAACAGTACTGCAGCGCTATTACAAGGTGCAAAATGATTTTCGTATAAGATAGAATAATGAGTAGAGCCATGAATCTGTGATCTTAAAAAACATGTCTCATAGGCAGTGAACTAACTGTTTTGCCATACATTATTTCATTTGTTCCTCTAAATAATCTGTAAACAAGATGTTATCTCCATTTTACAGATGAAGAAATTGAGCCTTAATGAGATTAAGTATTGGCCTCAAATTATATGTATCAGAACTCAGAACTTGTGACTGAATTCAGTAATCTTCATTTTGCACAGCACCATCTCTTAAGATCTAGAACTCTGGAATAGAAAGATGATTTTGACAAATGATTTTTCCCACACTGTATCACAACCATAAAACCACTAACATGAGTATCATCATTTTGATGATTCTTATAGTACTTGGAAACTAATTTTGGAAATTACTCCCTTTCTCTGAAACTCATTTGCCCAGCCAAAACCTCCTTCCTCTGTTCTTTCTCCTAAGCTGCACTGAGGTACCTGTTTGATCCTTTCATGCCTCTTGGCTCTGAAATCTGGCAGAGCTCAGTGTTATAAGTAGGTTTGTAAGTTGCCAGTGAGATGATCCAGATCCACTTTGTGCTGGGGAGAGGAAGAGTAGCTCTTGTAATCTTAAAGGTTCTCATCTGCCGTAACGTCAGCTAATAAAAACTACGACAGTCACCCTCCAAATACAAAGCCCCAGATCACCTTATTGTTAACCCTAGGCCCAAGGCTTAAAGTCACCAAACTACAGTCGCTTTCTAGCCTCCTATAATCACAATATTCTCTGGAGGGTCAAAGTTTGCCTAGTATCTGCCACTGACCTATTTTACAAATGACTTTAATTTGAAACCCCAGGGTGATCTATTGACCTATGACTTTGACTGTTTTAACTGGTTAATTTGTAAGATTTGACCTCTGATATTTGCTAACTTTTTATAGGGAGTTGTATTTGTAACGGAAGAAGAGAAGAATAAAAAATATTAGTTTTAAAAGTGGCCTATGTGACTGCTTTTCTAAAAAGGTATTTAATGCTCTTAGTACTTTGGCTTATCTCTTTGAAATAAAGCTAATACACAGGATTGCCTTCACATTGTTGTACTCTTCCTTTCTTGATCTAAGATAATTGTATTGTCTTAGAGCCTAGAAATTGTTAATATTAGCTAAAACTACTTGGCTGCTCTATTAGACGTTCCTTTTTTGTCAAGTTTTTCTCAAACATGTTTCTGCCTCAAAAGGAGCCCCGGGTAATTATGAGGTAATGGAGTACCTAAGAGGCCCAATTTTGTGGACATATTATGGTAAAATAGAATTTGGGGGTATTAACTTCCCAATTTCTGTCTTTAAAAAGTAGCCCCATAAGAAGTCATTGTCTCTGGACGTCCCAGTTATTTGCTATCATTTAAGCCAAGAAAGCTCTTTGGTTTGTTTTTTTTGTTTTTTCTAGGCTTAATGTTTATGTAACCTAAACATTCCCCAATCTTGTCTCCTACAGGTAGACTGGGTACAATGTGATGGTGGCTGTGATGAGTGGTTTCATCAAGTTTGTGTGGGTGTATCTCCAGAAATGGCTGAAAATGAAGATTACATCTGTATAAACTGTGCAAAGAAGCAAGGGCCAGATAGCCCAGGTCAAGCACCACCTCCTTCCTTCATAATGAGCTACAAACTACCAATGGAGGATCTTAAGGAGACCAGTTAGCAGTTGCTGGGTTAGTTTGGGACATGGGGAGAAATGGACCACGTTGAGACCTTAGTCATCAAGTAGAGTGGTGTAGATCCACTCAGAATGTTGCTTCCAAAGACGAATGGCCTTCAGAGAAAGTCCTCTTAGCTGACTTCCTCTTTGCATGGACTGTGTGACCTACATTCTCTTCAACACATCTATGCAGAGGGTGTCTTTGGTACAGCAGCCAGTATTTCAATTTATGTCTCCTCTGAGTATGGTTTGTTACTTTACAGCCAGACATGTGATTGAGCTCTAGAATGCTGGTTGGCATTAATACATTGGTATGCTAGCAGGGCATATAGGCTGTGGCTTATGGCCAGTCGATACTAGTTAGTGGTGTACAGCCCAGGGGCAGCACCATCTTGAGGTGCTGATGACTTGGCACTCCTTAGGACAGTTGGAGAGGAGTGAGAGTACCACTCTCCTTCTGCTGTTACCTGGCATATAATGCCCTGCAGATAGAACTATGGGAGCAACAGGGCCAAAGTTACTCCTGTTAGTCATGGGATAGTAGCCAGAGTCTAGATCCCAGCTACTTGTGTGTGTTTGTACCAAGAAGAAAGCCCCAAGTGAGAGGCAGATCACCTTATCTTTCTAAGGAGAGGAGTATGTCCTCTAGTTCAGAAGTCTGACTAGATTGGATTCTGGGAAGAAGAGCTTTTCTTATTTCAAGTCAAGGAGCCTTTTTTTGGCTTTGAGAAGTCTTGCTGTCTTGGGTCTGCATTTTAGAGACAAGCAGGTACATGGATCCAGCCTCCTGCAAAAGAAGAGAAGACAAGTCAGAATGTTTTACTGAGACACAGTGATGCATGCTTTTCGGGGAAACCTTCATTCACAAGTATACCAGATACCACCAGGCTTCAGGCATGGCCATGAGCAAGACCAGCAAATAACAGCTTTTTGCCTTGCAGCCCTGACCCCAATGTCTGCTGTTTCCAACACTGGCAATTTCTGATTGTGGCCCACAGCAGATGCTGTTGAATAACACCATGGCTTCATCAGAGAATGTGGGGTTGTAGCACCTCTGGGTGATAAAGTTGTTTTAGTAAATCCATTTTTAAAAAAAGAAAAAAAGGACTTGTTTTTACTTTTTTCTAAATGTCTCTGACTACTGACTGTTCTATAAATAGATTATTTTTCCTTTTTTAATATACATATATGAATATATAAATATATATATTTACTGTTACCAGCAGCATATGACAGAGTTTCAGCATCAAAAATCCATTTGGGGGCTTGCTTTCTTTTTTTTTGCTTTTTAATCAACCCCATTCCTTCCTTGTAGTACAAGGAGTTAGCACTTCCTTCTCCGTCCTAGCCTGACCAGATTTTCCATGTTGTTTTTGTTCAAATAGATAATTACATTTCCTTTGTGTGTTGGAACTTGTCCCTGTCTGTTGGGAAACTTGGTCTTTCTATCTGTGGTGGCTGTTTTGTTTTTGTATGTGAATGTTTGAAACTATGGTGCTGTGTCCTCTTTCCTCCTGTTGTGTTCTCTATTCTTGTTAAGGTGTTAGGTAAGCTATATGGAAACGTTTATTAGAAGGGGACTCTTTTTTTTTTTTTTTAAGGACAAAAAAAAAAAAAACAACCAACCAAAAAAACCTAAAAGTAGTGTTTGGTCTTCACTGTCCTGTGTCCCTTTATTTTGGTTAAAAATCTGTGGTTTGACTTAATTCATCAGTTTTCTTTTTAAAAGGGAGGAGCAGGGTGGGCCTAGAGAACAGCTTTTCCCTTTTGGCCCCAATCTCTTTTAAAGAAATGTCTTCTAGTAACTAGAAGTGAAATGTACTGTCCAGTTACAGTTTGAGTGGGTATGAGATTTAACTCAAAAGGCATCTTACTCCAAAAAAGCAAAAGCTTTCCTGTAAAACCCAGTTTCTGTAAATGCATTCTCTATGGTTCATACTACCTGATTTTTGGTCATTCTTCCCTTAATATATTATATAATATTTTTAGTGTTTTGACCTGTTAAGAGGTTCATAGGTGTCACTGTGCATGATCTTAAGTGTGTATATGATTTAAGATTTCAGTGGATATTGCAAGGTAACTATTAACCAATTTCATAAGTTTTCATTTTGCCAATCTATATAAAGATATTACTTAGTTAAAAAATTTCATCTGGTTGATGTTATAAAAGAAAGCACAATATATTTTTGCCTTTTCATCTTCTCTGTAAAGATCTTCAAATACTTGTGAGTAAAAAATTGAATGCAGTTTTAAGTGATGGCTGCCTGGGTGGAATACATTTAAAAATATTTCATTTTTCTTCCTAGTCACCTATTAACCTTACTCAGCCATCAGTGGAGGGGCATGAAGATGCTGAGAAAGATGACTAAGGTGCTCTGCTTCCTGGAATATGGTGGATGGATATAGGTGGCTGTTTAGGGAATAATTTATGTCCTTAATATGGTATTTACCTGCTGGAGACATGAGAGAGAGATGCAAGGCAGTCTCCAACCATGAGTAGTTCTCTGTTTACCTTCTGGTATTTTGAAACTTAAATATATGATTTAGTTGATACTATGAGCTTTTCTGTATTTATTTGAAAGTCACAGAGGATTTGGTCTGACTCTTGAGCGTAGATTTAGACCAAGGCTGAGAAGAACAGATAAGAGAAATTAGTTTAAAAAAATTAAAAAAGGGGGGGGAGAAAAATGAACATATACAAGTCTGTAATTGTGGAAATAATGAACTAAGATCTATTTAAAGACATGCCTGTGTCCTAATATAATATAAAACATTGTTTTCAGTTAGAGGAAATTACTTACTTACAACTTATTCCATTCTTCAACATTGTTACATTTCATATTACAACCTGATTTAAAATGTTCCTTTACCCTTCTCTCCAAAATTGCAAATTTTCACCATTGGTATTTTAATTTCTATGTGAATTCTATCAAAGGTATTTCTTACTACCTTTATTATAACTATGTTGGGGAAGGTTATAGAAAGAAAAATGAAAAAATGCTATGTAGGTCTTTAATATTCTCAAAGTGGGTAGGTCATTGGAACTATGCAAATCCCCAAGTTTACAACTATAGCACTAGTAGTTTGCTTTCTTGTTGGCAGAAGAGGGGACATTTTCTTCCCACAAATGTTTATTTTACGTACAGATAATTATTGCAACAAAGCCATGTTGAGATTTAGATGCTAAGACTCCCTTCCTGAGTTGCTGCAAACCACCTTTGCACTGCATGATTCAAATTTGTGCCTCAGTAAAATTACAAATTACTATATGTCATACTTTGAATAATTGAAAAGATAAGCATTAAATCTGTGATTGCCCACCATGTACTTATTTAATAATCAAAATCTTAGCAAAGGCTAGCAGACCTATAAGAGTAGAATAATTTTACCTGTGCTTCACTTCTGTTCTTCTCTGCTTTTGTCTTTGGTGTCCAAAAAATGTCAGTTTATTTGTTTTTCTTAATTTTAAGATTCTGGATGCAGTTCAGTGCACGTAAAAGAAACTCCCTGCTTGTCAATATTTTAATTCTGTAGTACATTTGTGTGAATATCAGCCAGTACTTAAAATAGGAGGATGAAAGGAGAAATTGAGAAACCTCTTCTTTCAAATGGTGGGACTATCTACTTTTTAAAGGAGAAAGTGACAATTTGGAGTGGGATTTAAGAATTGTAAATTGTGGAAGAATTTAAGCTGTTAAAGTCCCACATATAACCAGGTTCAATAAAGGTTTACATATGGAACTAGCTTCATATGTGTGTAGAAAGTTGCTTTTGCAGTAGGTCTGTTAAGTATAAATTTTAAAAAGCAGGCAACTGATTAGTCTTTTACCTTTTGAATCCCTCCCCTTTTAAAGTTAAAGCATATCATTACTTCTTTGGATATGGAGGTGCCAAGTGATATTCACAACATGAGAAGGAAAGAATGGAATGTGAATATATTTTGGAATTGCAGTCTTCTCTTGGCCTGGATCATATCCAGTCACCACTATGCAACGAATGATGTGCACTGGGAAAGGAGATGCCGGGTTCAGATGTAGCCTGCTTATTCTTATTTTTGCAATACTCCAAGATGTCTGAACAGGAATGTCCTTTGTAAACCTCAAGACCCTCTATTGATTATTCTCTTACATATTTATTTACCTGTTAGTGAGACACTTAAATATAATATGGACTCTAATTTTCCAGGGTTTTTGTGGTGCCTTATGAAAAGTATAACTTGATTTCTTGTTTTTTTTTTTGAGCATGTTTTTCATTTGTTTTCTGAAAGAATATTAGATACGGTTATTTGCATTACATCTGAAAAATAAAAGTTTTGTGTGTGTGCTCAGGTTCCCCCCTACTCTGTCATTACATTGGTGGCAACTCTAAATGGTAACCACGTAAAGGTCAATTTTGGTAATGAGTATTGATGATCCTGGGGAAAACTGGCAAGTGATACGAGAGCCACTTTTAACCTGTGCCAAAGCAGTTTCTAATATTGCAATTGCTCTCTATAAAATAAAATACTGGCCTCAAATAATTCTTTCAGTGGTGTGTTTAGCCTATTCCTGAGCATAGTGTTTTCAGAAAGTGTGACGTGGAAGAAGTGATTCCCGAAGATTTCACCTGTCCTCTATTTTCAGCAAGAATCCAGCAATGACCAGCAGACATTTCCCCACCTTTGATTCTTGAGCAATTTGTTCCTTGCAGCAAACCAGTAATAGCAGGGAAAACGAGAAAAAACTTTAATTTTGGCCTCCTAATGCTTAAATTAATTCAAACTGCAGCTTACTTCAAAGATAGCATTTTTTATTGCCAAAATTACCAGGTCTTGCAGTCATTTATGAAAATGTTAAGTTTCTGCTTTCAGTGAAATTGGCCTCAAATATGAAGTATGTGACTGTGTATATATGTGTGTTGGTGAGAAAAATTGGTGGGAAGAAGGAGGGAAAAAAAATCTAGTTATTTCTTAAATTGGAAAATATTTTTCTTAGCAGCAAAAAAGGACCCCTGAAATTCCATACAGTGACAGATTTTGTTTAAAAATTATGTGAGATCCTCCCAGTTTAGCAAATATTTCATGGGGCCTTGCCATTGTGGTTGATATGAATAAACTGAAGATCCAGAATCTTGGCCATTAGCCATTAATTGGGAAGTCAACACGTGATACAAGTAGAGAAAACGAACACAGAAAAATACTATATTATATGAATAAACTTAGAATAATTTAGGAATTTCTTGATTCTTTTTACCTACTTGTTCTTTAAAGTGTATTTCTACACTACTCTTAGTAGGAAGAAAGATTTACTTCACATTTCCGTCTAGTAAAGTTCCATGAAATTGCTTTACCAAAGATTTTCCCTAACCTTGTCTTTGGAGCTAGGTTGAGTATCTTATTAATGGGAAAGAAGGCACCACACAGTCTAGTAAATGGCTTAATGGATCCAGCTGGTAAACCTTGCATTAAGGAACCCTGATGAGTTCCCCCGGAATATTGGGATGAAGTCAGAATTGTTTGTAGTTTACAAAAACGAACAAAAACTTCAAAAAGATGAGGACTTTAGGATTACATAAAGTAAAGAACATAGATTTAGGAATCAAATAAATAATGGGTTTTAGCTCTGCATATAACCTTATATTAGTTTTTTTGAGACTAAGTTTCCTACCATGTGTGGGTTAGTTCAGGTGGATAGAAAGACATTAAGTCATAGCCCCTCCTCTTGAGAGAAGGTGAGACAGATGATGATTTTTAAGGATGTTTCCTACTAAAAGTTTTATAGAATTTTGAGAGGAAGATAGTAGAGGGATTTTGGACATGTAGTCCAAATCACTATTTAATGATAGATCTATTCAGTACTTCTGATGAGGGAATATACAGACTATAGTGAATATTCTATTTTTAGAAAATGTAAATATTAATCACATATATTAGAGCTTACCCATAGTCTTCACTTGGGTCTGAATTTTGCAGAGTTCATCAAGCGCTTTTATGTATGCCCCAAGACTGACATCTCACCATTCTATCCAGTGCCCAACTCTGTGGAGGTAAGGTGATAGTATCAGACACATTTTGATGGACCTAACTGTACCACTCCCTCCTCCTGAATTGGTATTTGGCCTTAGTAATATTTTCCCACCATTCAAAGCAAAGGCTCCTTCCCTCTCCACACTAGGCTGCACTGTGCAGAAACCAGTAGGTCACTCACTGATCTTTAGTCTTAGTAGGCTACTTTAGTCTTCTTTCTGGCCTAACCTTGCCATCCTCTCGAGCTGGGGGCTAAGCTTTGTTGAGACACAAAATGAATAATCACTAATACTCTTTGGAACCAGAACAACAGTTCAAGCACACCTAGTCTTGGTCAGTGCTCAGTGCTTCTATTTATTTTGTCATAGACACATTACTTCAGAGTTCCAGTTGGAACATTAAGGCCGGTTTAATACACTTGGCTTCCCATCCCGGTAATTCATTGCTGCCATCTAAAATAGATGTCCAGGGGGGTGCCTGGGTGGCTCAGTCGGTTAAGTGTCCGACTCTTGATCTCAGCTCAAGTATTGATCTCAGGGTTGTAAGTTCAAGCCCCATGTTGGGTGTGGAGCCTACTTACAGTAAAGAAAAGAAAAAGCAAAGGAAGAAAGAGAAAATAAATGATAGCCCACCCAGTCATCCATCCTCTCTTCTTGTATTCCATTGCTGTTATCTACTATCCCCAATTCATGGTCTCATTGCTGCCCTTTCTTCCAATTTCTTGCATTATAGAGGGGCACCTGGCTGGCTCAGTTGGTAGAGCATGTGGTTCTCTTGGGGTTGTGAGTTCAAACCCCAGGATGGGTGGAAAGATTATTATCTAAATAAGTAAATATGCATTATAGAGACTCTGGCTTCCCCAGTCCTTTGTGAACTTCCCTACTTTTTCATTTAAGTGGAACCTGGCTCTCAGCCACACTTACCTTAGGACTATTTCAAGTTGAGGGTGCTCATTTTCTCACTACTACAGGTGTGAACCGATAGATTTTAAGGGTGCTGTGCTTATGTTATTACTGGTTTCCACCACCACACATTGAGGCCTCTGATATTCAGCTGTACCACCATCTATCCTCATTACTGTCATCTCTAGTTACTCTTTTACATTCATTGAGGACTTTGATGGTTCAAGGGCATCTCTGCCTCCAGCCCTACCATTATTTGGGCAATATCATTGATCATGGATAACTTTACCGTTTCTGGACTTCCACCTCCAATAATTATTTTCACTCCATTTAGCAAACCAGTTCCAAGGCCATAGCTTGGACTCTCAAAAACTTATTTTGGGGGGGTGCCTGGGTGGCTCAGTCAGTTAAGCATCTGACTCCGGATTTCCCTTCAGGTCATGATCTCAGGGTTGTGAGACTGAGCCCTACATTGGGCTCATGCTGGGTGTGGAGCCTGCTTAAGATTCTCGTCTCCCTCTCCCCCTCCTTCCCCTCCACCCCCTTCCCTCTTTCTCTCTCCCCCTCTCTAAAAAAAAGAAAAAAAACAAACAATAAAAAAAACCTTATTTCTGAAATGTTAATGTCTAGAATCCTATTCATACTAGTCTGATTTTTAACATCTTGTCCTTTGATCTCGTCCTCTCGGTATGTTTACTCTGTGACCTTGAGAAACATCCAGTCGCTGTTTTCTTTCAACCTTCAGTTCACTCTGATGAGGGAATATACAGACTATATTGAATATTCCACCCTCTTTCTTCTCCATTTAGCATAGACTGCATGGCCTATCACTCATGGTGTTTCCCCATCACTCTGGCCCTGCAGAACCGATTTCTGGGTTTTAGCCATCTGACTTGTTTGCTCTCATGGGCTGCTGAATACTACTGAGTACACATCCCTGATTGGTAGCACCACAAATTGACTCAAGTAGGTGGGCTCTCAAAGCCCCAATGGTCCAGCAACCTCTTCCATTTGTAAAGCCTACTTCCAACTTTCACTGTTGTCAAATCCCCACTGCCACCTCTTCCCTCAGCAGAGGCCTACCCTCCTAACACCAACTTGAGCAAATTGAAGCTAACAGGAGAGCTCTGAGTTTCCCTAGTCAACTATAACATCAACATCTTAAAGTGGTTTCATCAGAGGCTCTTCTTGATATACCCTCTTTGGATTCCCGAGTTCACTTCCAGTTACCACTTACCACTTTTATACAGATGTTTCGCAAATCAGTATGACCTGCCTGTGCTTGCTTTCTTTGCTCCTTAATCAACTGCCTGCTAAGTGTTTCTATTTGTAGTATTTTAATCACTCTAAACTATTTGTGTCAAAAACCGAACTTTTCTTCCCAACCCCAAACCAGTTCCTCTTTCTTTATTACCTCCAAAAGAATAGCTAGGTGCCCAAGCCAAAATTCTAGGAACCCTCCTATATTCTTTCTGACCCCTCCCTTCCTGTATGCAATTATATCCTCTGTTCCCATTGTGATGCATTAACTCACGCCCTCCTCAGTTTTCACCTGGATTTCTGCACTAGTCTTTAGTCCGGTCAAGCTAGTTTATCTTGCAAGTTACTACAATGAATTATCTGAAGAGCCAGTCTGTTCAACACATTATCCTATGAAAAAAAAACAAAACCAAAAAAACAACCCACATTGGCCTAGGGAGTCTGCCCCATTTACCTTTCTAAGCTCCTATTTCCACACACACCCTCAGTCACTGCTTCAGACACTGATGATGGTTTCCTAGGCTTTTTCTGGAATGCTCTTCTAGCTCTCTCCTTCTCAAAATGCCAGTTTAAATGCTAGCTCTTCAGAGTCCCCTTGTTCTCTCACAACAGCTTGTTCTACTCCCTTATGGGACTTGGCAACATGTGAGGTATTTGTTTATGAGTTCTATGAGGGCAGGAGCTTTGTTTCCTTCATCTCTTTATACCCAGCAACTAGAAGAATCCCCTGCAGGGGCACCTGGGTGGCTCAGTTGTTAAGCATCTGCCTTTGGCTCAGGTCGTGATCCCAGAGTCCTGGGATCGAGCCCCGCATTGGACTCCCCGCTCCGCGGGAAGCCTGCTTCTCCCTCTCCCACTCCCCCTGCTTGTGTTCCGTTCCCTCTCTCGCTATATCTTGCTGTCAAATAAACAAAATCTTAAAAAAAAAAAAAAGAATCCCCTGCATATGGTAAGCATTCAATAAATGATTTGAATGAATGTTGTTTCGTGCCTTTGTTCCTCCCTATATATTATCTCTCAGTTTATCGTACTCTATGTTTGGGCTGCCATGCCCTCATCCACATTGCCTCCTGTTAAAGAACAAAAATTTAACTGAGTAAATTTGAAGATCTAATTGGCTTTATTAAATGATTCATGAGGACAGCATCCTATCTAGCAAGTTAAA